GAGGCGGACAGGCGGCCGGCCAGACGGCGGCGGTCAGAGGGCAGCGGGCGGGAGCCCTCCTCCTCCTCCCCCACCTCCTCCTCCGCGCCCGGGCCGCCAACCTCGAGAAACGGCAGGCGGAGGAAGGGGAGCAGCCCCGAGGCGCCGCGTGCGAGCAGTGAGGGAGGCGGCCCGCCGACGGAGGAGCGGCCGAAGAGGCTGCGCCACAGGCCGAGCGGGCCGTCCCCGGCCGACTCGTCCGCGGCGGGCGCGGAGTACGCGTCCGCGTCGCGCGCCTCGAGCGCCGCCGTCCCGAAGATTGGAGCCGTGCCGGCGACGATGGAGGCGAGCACGGGCGGAGGGCGGGGCGCCGCGGCCGCGGCGGCGGCGGGCGAGTGCAGCTCAATCACGAGGAGGCTGCCGGGCAGCGGCGGCGTCACGAGCGTGCCGGCGCGGGCGCCGCCCTCCACGGCACTCCGCCCGGTCCGGCGCAACGACTCGGCCGTCCACGCTCCCTGCGCGCCGACGCCGCGCTCGCCGTGCACAAAGAGCCGCTCGCCGGGCCGGAGCGCGAGCGCCTCCAGGCGCGCCGAGAGCCACGCACAGCCCGGCGGCCCGCGCACCGCAAGTCGGTGCACGGTCGAGCCGTCAGAGAGCGAGGCGGTCTCGTTGAGCGCGGCGCCAAGGTGGACGACGTGGTTGAGAGGCAGGCTGTCGTCTGCGGCGGCGGCGGCGGGTGGCGGCGGAGGAGGCGCTGGCGGGAGCTGTAGGGTCGGCGGGGGCGGGAGGCCGTGGCGGAGGGACGGGGCGAGACCGCGCGCCGCCTTCATGCGTGGCGGTGAAGCAGCGCGGTCCGGCAAGTCGCGGAGCGATGTTTCGCTCCTTTGGGTGTGCGAAAAGAATTTTATCGGGTTTCGCGAGTGCGGTTGATACAAGAAGGACGGAGTTGCGCCGAGAGGCGAAAGAAGCCGCGAGAACAAGGGACCGGCAGGCGGCGGCGTCGCAGGACGAGGCAGAAGAGAACGACGCGACAGAGGGGGAAGTGACAAGGGAGAGAACGACGAGAGTGGGACAGCCGCGAGGTGGCATGAAGGTTGCAGCGAGAAGCGGCGAGAGACTGCGAAAAGAGATACGAGGAGGCAGACCCCCCAGGGTGGGCGACGGCTAGCGCATCACACCCTCCTCTCCTTAAAATCCCTGTGTGGTGGCGGCGTGCCGTTCTCCCATCCCTCCCTTGGGTTGTGTGTTTTCTTTCTTTCTTTCTTGATACAAGAACCGTTCTCCCATCCCTCCCTTGGGTTGTCTGTTTTCTTTCTTTCTTTCTTTTGATACAAGAACGGGAGGCGCCGGACTCAAAAGACACCGCCACATCCCTGAGACGAGTCCTCCTTAAAGGCAATGGGGTCTAGATTCGGAGCGCTCGCCGAAGAGGAGTACGACAAAATAGCGCCCGTGATTGCCTGCACGCTGCCCGCACTCACGGACTCCATACCCGAAAGAAAGAGGAGGGAGCTCGCGGGAGAGGTGACGAGTGAACTACAGGCAGTGGGGAAGGCAGCCTCGATTGCCATACAGACATGGGTGCGAAACAACGACACGACCAAGGCACGGGCAGAGGAACGAGAGAAGAATATAGGGTGGATAAAGCGCCTGTTCACGCATGGAGGGTGAGCCACGCCGAACGTACTGAACGTAGAGCCGAGCGGGAGGAAGAGGGGGAAGACGACTCCGAGGAGGACGAACCAGTGGAAATCCCGTTGTCAGCCGTCACGATGCACCCGAAGGGGACCACAGCGCCGGCCTCATCAGTGAGGGCACAAGTGTTCGAAGAGAGAGTCGACCTGAGCAACAACATGACCTGGAGGCAAATGATCGGAGTGGGAGTCAGAAATGTGGTCCTTGCGCGAGGGGAGCTCGATAGACTCGAGGGGCCAGGATATGCAGCGAGGAGATTGAGTGCGGCATCAATTGCAGCGAGAATCGGCGAGAGACTGCGAAGAGAGATAGGAAGAGGCGGACGCCCAAGGGGGTGGGCGACGGCTAGCGTACCACACCCCTCCTCCCCTCCTCCTTGCTTAAAATCCCTGTGTGGGGGGGCGGCGTGCCGTCCAGCGTCCTCCCATCCCTCCCTTGGGTTGTCCGTTTTCTTTCTTTCTTTTCGGTTGATAACTGCACTCCAAGTGCTCCAAGTTACTAGCTCACACATCGGCACACCGCAAAAAAGACGGGAGAGGTGCCAGGAGACCGTGGACCATGCATAAATCTCTTGGGTCCCGGATTCGCATCTCGCCACTCTCGGATACGTTCCACGTTCGCAGGTGGCGAACAGGCACGTGGGCGACGCGGCTACACAGAGCCTTGCACCCTTTCTCCCTTCTCATCACTGCCCCGGCGCCCACACCTCGATCTTCTTGGGCAGCCGCTGGATCTTGTCGTCGCCGTGGCCCAACTGGCCAGAGGCTCCAAGGCCCCAGCTCCAGACGCTGCCGTCGGCGGTGATGGCGAGGCTGTGCAGACCTCCAGCCGACACAGCGACGACGCGCTGCCCCGCCAAGGCTTCGATCTTCTTCGGCAGCAGCTGGTTCTGCTCGTCGCCGTGGCCCAACTGGCCGTAGCCTCCAACGCTCCAGGTCCAGACAGTGCCGTCGGCGGCGAGGGCGAGGCTGTGCGCGTGTCCAGCCGACACAGCGATCACGCGCCGCCCCACCAAGGCCTCGATCTTCTTCGGCAGTAGCTGTTGCTGCTGGTTGCTGTGGCCCAACTGGCCTTCGCGTCCACGCCCCCAGCTCCAGACGGCGCCGTTGGCGGTGAGGGCGAGGCTGTGGTTGGCTCCAGTCGACACAGCGACAACGCGCTGCCCCGCCAAAGCTTCGATCTTCTTGGGCAGCAGCTGGTCCTGCTCGTCGCCGTGGCCCAGCTGGCCTTGGCCTCCACAGCCCCAGCTCCAGACAGCGCCGTCGGCGGTGATGGCGAGGTTGTGGAATGACTCAGCCGACACAGCGACGACGCGCTGGCCAGCAAAGGCCTCGATCTTCGTGGGCAGCAGCTGTTGCTGCTCGTCGCCGTGGCCCAGCTTGCCATGGCTCCCAAAGCCCTAGCTCCAGACGGCACCGTCGGCGGTGAGGGCGAGGCTGTGACTTTCTCCCGAGACAGCGACGACGTGCTGGCCAGCAAAGGTCTCGATCTTCTTCGGCAGGAGCTGGCGCTGCTCGTCGCCGTGGCCCAGCTCGCCAAAGACTCCACTGCCCCAGCTCCAGACAGCGCCGCCGGCGGTGAGGGCCAAGCTGTGCGCGTCTCCGGCCGACACACTCACGGCGCGCTCGCCGCCCAGCGTGGACGTGAGGCGGGTGGGCGGGTTGGGCCGCAGCACGCCCACGCCGTGGCCAAGGAGGCCTGGAAGTACTTCCTCGTCCTCGTCCTCGTCGTCCTCCGCGCCTTCCAAAGCCGAGCCGCACGACGAGAGCCGCCCCTCGCCGTCGATGAAGACGCTGTGCCGGTCACCTGCCGTCGCCCTCGCCGGCGGGTTGGACTCGCACAGCAACGCCGAATAGCACAGCCACCGCACGGCGCAGCCCTCGCCCTCTGGCTGCGCCGGCAGCTCGAAGCCGCGCTCTTGCGCCCACAAGCGGATGGCCTCCACCGCAAGCGAGGCGTGAAAGAGCAGCGAGACGGCCGCGACGCGAGCGATATCGGCGGGGTCGCAGCGAGAGAGGGCGCGCACGAGGAGCTCCGTGGGGAGGTCGAGGAGGCGGGTGGGCGGCGGCGTGTCTGGCGAGGGATCGGCTGCGGTGTCGGCGGCGGCGCTGTGGCGAGGCGGCGGGAGCGGCGCGGACCGCGGTGTCTGACATCGTAAAAAGAAAATTTCCGGACGTGCGGTACTAACTGCACTCCAACTTCACCTTTCTACCTACCTACCTACTCCAAGTGCTCCAAGTGCTCTTCTACCGACCAAGTGCTCCAAGTTACCTCCCCGGCCCTGGATGTGAGGCTACCGACTGCACTCCAAGTGCTCCAAGTGCTCCAGAAGGCGCGAGTCCAGCCTCGCATTCACACACGCAGAGACAAGGTGCAGAAAAGAAGCTGCAGGAACGCTGGAGCCCCTCTCCCGCCCCCGGAGGGACGGAGCGCGCCCCGGGCGGCGGGCGGCACGGGTCTCTTAAAGTTTCACGGTCAGAGCCCGACGTGCAGGAACATGTCGAGCTCGATGCCGATCGGACTGCCGACCGCCCCCTCCCAGTGCGCCCGGTGCGTGTCGATGGCGCCTGCGCGCATGCGAGGCGGACGAGAGGGGCGCGCAGTGGGCGGGTAACGGGCGCGGGCAGGTCGCGAGGGCAGGTCGGTGGGCGTGGGCGGCGAATGGGATCGCACCTCGAAAGTCGGCCGCCTCCACATTGGCCGAACGGAAGGACGCATCGGTAAGGACGGCGCCGCGGAAGTCGGCGGACCGGAAGTCGCCGTGCGACAGGTCCGCGTGCGCGAGCTTGGCGCGCTGCAAGTCCGCGCCCGCCCACAGCCCGCGGCGCAGCGTCGCCACGAGCAGGGAGGCGTCGGAGAGGTCCGCGGCCTCGAAGCTCGCGCCTTCGCCCGCCGCCATCGTCAGGTCGGCCCCGCGCAGGCTGGCGCGCGAGAAGTTGGCGTGCGAGAGGCTCGAGCTCACCATGACGGCGCCTTCTAGCCGCGCGCCCCTGGCAGACGCGCCCGCCATCACTGCGCTGCGCATGCTCGCCCCGCGCAGATCGGCGCCGTCCAGGAGCGCGCCGCGCATGTCCACGCCGTCAAAGGACGCACCCCGGAGCGACTGCCGCCGCAGCTCCGCGAGACGCAGGTGCGAGCACGGCCCAAAGTCGGCGGCGGGCGCCTGCAGGAGCTGCGCCTCGAGGCAGCGGTTGGGAGGCGGACTCGGCGGACGCGACGGCGGCGGTGGAAGCGGCGGCGGGGACGGCGTCGGCGGCGACGGCGACGGCGGCGGAGGTGGCGGCGGCGGCGGCGGCGACGGCGACGGTGACAGAGGTGGCGGCGGCGGCGGCGGCGACGGCGACGGCGGCGGAGGTGGCGAAGGTGGCGGCGACGGCGGCGGCGGCGGCGACGGTGGCGGCGGCGGCGACGGTGGTCGCGACGGCGGCGGCGTCGGCGGCGGCAGTGACGGCGGCGACGGCGGCGGCGTCGGAAGGGGAGGCGCGGGCCGGCGAATCATCTCCGAGTTGAGGTTTTTGAGGGTCGCCGTGACCGCGCCGCCGTATCTGGGGGGTTTGAGGCGGCAGGCGTGCTCACCCATCGGGAGGACGTGCCGTATGGGCTCCTTGTGGAGTTCGCAGCGTTCGTAAGGGAAATGGTAATCGATCGCGATGCATTCCGGACTGGCGAAGCACATGGCCTGGCACTCGGCTTCGCTCACGCGCCAGTACTCGTCCAACGATCCCGTCGCGGCATTCACTGTCCTGCAGGCACCGCGCTTACCGCCCGCGAGAGGCCAGAAGGTGGCCATCACCTGTGTCGTGGGTCAGGGTTTTTTTTTGTTATGCCTAATGACAGCATGATCTCAGGGAACACGGCGCACGCATGGCATATCGCTCTCTTCACAGACACCAGTCGAGATACCTCGCACTCCATCCATGTGCGAGGAACGCAGAGCGAAATGAAAGCAGTCCGGCTCACAAGTCCAGCTCACTCACTCACTCACGCACGAGCCCCGAGCTGAGGACCCTCCACACACTGACTGAGCACCACTTTCGCCCCCTCGCCCCTAACTAACTCTGAAGCGGTGAGTGAGTGAGTGAGTGAGTGTGTGTGTGAGTGCGTGTGTGTGTGAGTGAGTGAGTGTGTGTGTGTGTGTGTGTGTGTGTGTGTGTGTGTGTGTGTGTGTGTGTGTGTGTGTGTGTGTGTGTGTGTGTGTGTGTGTGTGTGTGTGTGTGTGTGTGTGTGTGTGTGTGTGTGTGTGTGAGAGGGTGTGTGTGTGTGTGTGTGTGTGTGTGTGTGTGTGTGTGTGTGTGAGTGTGTGTGTGTGTGTGTGTGTGTGTGTGTGTGTGTGTGTGTGTGTGTGTGTGTGTGTGTGTGTGTGTGTGTGTGTGGTTGGCCTGTATATACTTTTCCGGCAAACAAAAAGGAAAACAGAGGGGCCCCAGCACTTTGCGTTTCCGGAAATTTTCAGGGAAAACGCAGAGGGTGTTTGGTGCTCCATTCTGGAAACTCGCGAGTTTCCCTGAGTCTGAGAGCTGGTCTGGGGCAAAATCTGAGGCAAAATTGAGGAAATCGGCACGATACCAAGGCGGTCGCAGGGTATTTTCCAGGTATACCCGGGGTTTTCCAGGTATACCCGCAAAATACCCGGTATTTTGCCGATTTGGCTGATTTTGGGCCCAAACCAGCCTCAGACTCGGCTCAGAGCCCGGAAAATTTGATGGTTTCCCCGGGAAAATAGAGAGGAAAAGAGAGGGTGCTGTAGAGAAAAAGGGAAAGGAAAGAGACGGGGTGCGAGAGGAAAAGTATATATATACAGCCTATGTGTGTGTGTGTGTGTGTGTGTGTGTGTTTGAAAGCGGGTGGCGCTGTGGGAAAGTTCTTGCAAAAAGGGAGAAAAATGGCTGTGCGGGATGTCTGTGGGCCCGAGAGCAGCGATGTGCCATGTGTGAGTCCGCCTTGCGTTTCTTTCAAAACAGAAAAAGCTCTATCGGACGGACGCACCGCACCGCACAACTGTGCCCGACTGCGTGCATGCAGACGCCTCCCGCAGACGAGTGGGAGCGCGCCGCGCCGCACCTTCCCTGCAGGCTGCTCAAAGGCCTCCTCTACGTCGAGCTGCAGTACCACGTCCTCCTTCTCTGCGGATTCGCCTTCTACGATGCGGACGCCTACGGCTTGCTCCTTGGTGGCTGGGTAATCATGTGCTATCCCATCTTTGCGCTCTTGAGCATCGTGGGTGCCTCGCTGGTGCTGTGCTGCCCGATTGGACGCCCACTGTCGACGCTGAGATGCTCGCTCTGCCTGATCACGACGGCAGGCATCCTGAGTCTCGTGACGTTCCCAATCTTTTTGTACTTCACCTTTGCCATGCACGTTGGTGCGCTCTTCGGAGGGGGCTGTGCAGATGACGACCCCGATTGCTACTCAAGCGGCCTTAGTATTGCCAGCCAGCCGGAGGATGAAATCGCGGAGGAGCTTCGAGCGTGTTTTTTTTGGTGGATCTATTGCGGGCTGACGGCCCTCACCGGCGCCGCACGAGTCGTGATTGCCTGCTGCGCGAACTCGAGCGCGGGCGCTGTGGCGCTCGCACTGGCAGGCACGGACGGCAGCGTTCAGGTGCCGTCCGACGGCTCTAGTGCTCACCGGACCGTATGGTCTACGACGGCCGTGCTGTTGCCATTAGGTGGCTCCCTAAACACCTGTCGGCGCCGCTCGTCGAAGCGGAAACGGGGCCCCGGCTCCGTAACTCTCCGTTAGCACCGATTTCCCGATTTATCCCGGCGGTGTAACAGAGGGAAGATTTGGAGAGATCTCGAGGAGTACATCAGTAACCAGCCTCCGGCGGGGCCCCCCGCTACCATCCAAACCCGAGTACAAAGCGCCTCTCCGAGAGCGCTGCGCAGACGGTCTACTTACTAATCATAGAGGCTCAAGTGCGACAAGTCCACACACATAACATGCGACACGGGTGCCTGCCATACACAAAGCATTACTCTCACGACACACGGGCACCGGAGCGGCGGCAGCGGCGGCAGCAGCACACGCGGGCGGACGGATTCGGACGGGGCGGAGCAGCGACCGCCTGGGCGGCCGCTGCTCTGTCTGCCGAGCGCGGTCAGGTGCAGGGAAGCGTGGCGGCGCGGGGAAGCGCCGCGGCGGCGGCGGCGGCGGCGGCGGCAGCGGCACGCGCGGGCGGACGGACTCGGACGGGGCGGAGCAGCGACCGCCTGGGCGGCCGCTGCTCTGTCTGCCAGAGCGCGCCGTCTGCGCAGCGCGGTCAGGTGCAGGGAAGCGTGGCGGCGCGGGGAAGCGCGGCGGCGGTGGCGAGCAGGCGAGCGGCCCGCGCGCGGCGAGGCGGACAGGTGATCGGCAGGCGGGTGATGGGCCGGAGAGTGACCGCGCCCAGCGATCGGAGACGAGCCGATCGTCGCTCGGCCGCAGCTGACCTCGAAGGCGTGCGGAGCGCGACTGTCGGTGTCGGGGGGCGGCCGTCATGTGGCGAGGAGGGAGGACGACAAGTGCGCGTCGTACGGGTCGCTCTTCATCGGCCAGTCGAGCGGCACTCAAGTCGAGACCGAGCATGGGCGACGAAAAGCCGGTGGGGCCGGTGGGAGGTATTGGTTTCGCGCTTTCAAAAGCGGCTTCGCGCGCAGCGCAACTTTGGGTTTGCCACGAAAAGCGCTTCCAGTGGAAATGGGGGCTACTGGGGCGGCCAATTCACACCTCGCGGGACTACTTATGTTTTCGTAAACGTAGTTGTGGCCCCCCGCTACGTCGCACGAGTGCAACCGGGTAGCGGGGGGCTACAAGATAGACCCTCCAACTCAGAAACCTCCAGAAACGATAGCAGGACGAGAACGAGCTATAGTTAGAGGTAATGACCTTAGAAACTAAGCCTTAGTACAAGTCCTCTGTAATCGAGTTTTAGAGGGGTTCGCGAGAGAGGTCCAGACATTCACGGCCACGGTCATTAGATAATTCGCCCGTCACCCTCTCGAGTCGATTGGTTCAGCACTCGCCGCTCTATATCTGCCGGCGCAGCATGTGGTTCGGGAAGAGGCTGGTATTCTGCAGCTCCGCACCTGTCAGCGGGCTCGTTGACATGCTCGCGAGCCAGCGCTCAACAGCCATCCGTCACAGCTCCATGATCGCGCCGGCCGGACGGACACCACCGAGACGGCCGTTCCGGGCATTTGAACGCGACCTTCGGGGTGGGCGACATGGGCTCTATGGCTCAGACTGGACTCCCCTCGGTCCATTTTGATGCAGGGCTGGTCTGTTCGCCACAGCCGGCGTTCACACCTCGATCGGGAATCGCGCTAGTTACGCCCGTCCCCTCAGCGAGGTTCTGTCGCGGGCCGCGGAGCGCGGGCTCTGCCAAAGAGACGCGGCGCCCCATCCGCCCATGGCGGCCCTCGAGGACTAGTAGCCTCTGGGCCCAGCGATGCACACCGGCGGGAACGGCGCACGGGCCTCGAGCCGCACTTTGAGCCGCCCTCGATTCAGCGCGGAATTTAGCGCGGGTGAGGCTTTCTGGACGGAGACATGGAAGTCCACCCTGGAAGTCCCACGGGGAGGAGCCGTGCGGCGTGAGGAAACACAGGACGTCTCAAAGCTGCCCGAGCGGCGGTGTAAACACTGCCTACTCCTGCTTCCGCCGCTGGCTGCAGCCACCGTCTGCTTTGCAGTGATCCTCGCCTTGGTCATGTACTACGGTGCCGTGTTGCCGCTGCAGAATCGCGGGATACGAGTGGAGATGTGCGGCGTGAGTGTGTGCGAAAAGGCGCCTGGCGTCCCTCCGACCGAGCAGGACTTTGTGGAGTGCGCCGCGCGGCATGAGGCTGCGGCGCGAGTCAACGGAACCGTGGAGGTGAATGTCACTATCCTCGCCTTCAATCCGGCCTTCATCGGTGCCGTCGTCAGCAGGATGCGAGCCGTGGTGATGCCGCCGCCGCTCCTAGCCGCATTTGGCCCGCCGCCGCCGCTGCACCTCAAAGAGCAAGCGCTCATGCGCGGCGCAATAGCCGGCTGCGCCGTGGAGGGGAGCGTCGAGCTTCCTCCGCAGGGCTGGGCCGCCTTTACGTTCCTGTGTTCGCTCTCCACCGGAATCGGTCTCCAGGACCGCATCTCGGCATACGTCTCGGGCAATGATACGAGCTGGGGCATCCGCGTCTGGGCGGACGTGGCACCGGCCGCCGCGCGCCTCCTTCGCGTGCCGGTGTCGACGGAGCCGTATGGCAACTGGCTGGAGGTCCTCCGCTTTCCAGGCGCCGCGCTCTCCGTCCCCATAGAGAAGGCATGGCATTCTGCCCAGAACGGTTTGGCGCACTGCGACATCTTAGACCTGATGACAATGGAGTTCCCCTATCTGTACCACTGCAGCGACAGAGGGATGGATGAGCGGGCCATCGACGTCGGGCACGTCGAGACGGAGGCAGAGCACAAGTCGTGGGGCTGCCGCGGCTACTCGGACCTCATTTGCCCGAATCCGAGGCCAAACAGCCGCCCGACGCTTGACCGAAGCGGCCAGCCGTGCCCTTCGATGCTCGACCTGACAGCCTTTGAGGCGAAGAACTTTGCCTACGATAGGCTCGGCCGCGCTGCAAAGGAGGCTGCTGAGTTTACTAAATGCCTGATGAGCCCGGTCGACGCGCTCACCGGCGCGTGCGGAGGCATCGCCGAGAACTGGAGGATGATGCCACTCACCTTTACCATCCGCAACCCCACACACCTTGCGATTACCGTTGAGGCCGACACACGCGCCTACGTCAAGTCCGCGTTCTCGGTCGGGTGCGTACCCGGCCAGGCGACGTCCACACACACCGCAGAGGTGTTGCAGGATGTGGCAGGACGGCTGGAAGATAACCAGGCCTTAGCCACTTGGGCGTGCGAGGAGCAGTGGGACATGGAGGCGGGGGCGTTTGTATCGAGGAACGAGGCCTTGATCACCGGCCTCCCAGCAGAGCGCTTGACCGTGCCTGCGCGAGCCGAGGCTCCGCCCGGGACCGAGAAGAGAGAGGGCCGCGTCAGAGCGAGGCTGACCCAACCTGCCGTGCATGCAGGCCAAGGTGACGCTCCGCTTGAATCTCAGCCGGCTCCTCTTCGATCGTGAGGTGGCATTGGCCGCTTCGGCTGCAGTTTTGGAGTCTCGAATCCGCACGCGTCACTGTGCTCGTCACTTTAGGCGCGGCTAGACCTGTCCAACCTCGATGCGCTGCGCTTTCTTGGCCTCAGCGTGCAAGTCACCGCGCTCGACATGCACTTGCACTTTGAGATCCCGCGCATCCTCGCGCTGTCCGGAGGGGTCGACTTTGGAGGGGTGCACACTGAGGAGGAGCTGGCGTGGCTGGACGACATGGCGGAGGTCGCGGCGGGCCGGCTGCCAGAGACGCACCCCCACCACGGAATACCAATCTGGGGCGGCGGCGAGGTGAGCGGGCCCTCCTTCGCACTCTCAATAGTGGACGTTGGCCGCTACTATTCGCCGCCGCCGCCGCCTTTGTCCCCTCCCATGCAACCGCCGCCATCGCCGCTTTCGCCTCCGTCGCACCCACCCTTGGAGCCGCCGCTGCCATTAGAACCACCGCTTTTGGCTGACTGGCTCTCTGACCGCCCGTTTGACATCTTTGGTGGAGGCGACAACCATGGCTCCCACAAACTACAGCATGCTTGGGAGGCGGGTGGGCTGGGCTGAGGTACGGCTACAGATAGAGCCACTCTCTCTGATGCGTGGTGCTTGGGCCCCAGTAGCTGCACAGACAACGGCAACTTGAGACTGTGCGCACCATTACGTCTCAAGTTGCCATCAAGTGACGGCCCGGCGCACGCGCACGCACGCGCACCCGCCATTTATTTATTACACATAGCACGCCCGTATACGTACGTGTTACTTGGTGTACCTGTGTCCGTGTCACTGGCCACTAGGGAAGCTACTAGGGTACCGCACAGCGCACTTAAAAACTCTTTAGACTTTAGAATTAGATGCAAGTGGATGCTGCCGATGGTAATAATGATAATCGAAAGTATTTCTCCAGATAATGAAAAACCAACAAGCAAGAAGAAGATTCTGCCTTCACCCTTGTTATTTAGCGAGAGAAGCTGTCGAGATGGATGAGATGCGGATTGCATTGGCCGGGGCCGGCCAGGTGTACGCCCACGCCAGCTCACAGTCACACGCGTGCAACTCACAACATGCAAAGTCTCTCTCGCGAGCACCTCGGCTTCTCGAGATCTCGCCCCCCGCCCATTTCAAGTGAGGCCGCCGCAAAGCAGCCCCGCCCTCCACAACCCTCCCCAGGGCAGCGGCCAAATCGCTTGGCTGTTTGTGACACGCTCGAGGCACCGCCGCCGCCGGCGGTAGGCGCCCCGTCGCCTCACTCCGCCGCCCTCACGTCCGCACACGCCTCCCTCTCACGCAACCCCTCACTTCCACTCGGGCGCGTGGAACGTCGCCCTCCGACCGGCGGGCGCGACCGAGGCGCGCCGGCTGCTCGCGCGCTGCACGTGGGCCGAGATCGACGAGTGGCGCCGGCTGCCCGCGACCTATTGTGGCAGCGCTCGAACCGCTTAGCCCGCCAGGGGGGGAGTGCCACGGTGAGCGCGCGCCGCGTCACTGCGCGCCTTTGCGATGGCGCCGCCGCCGCCGCGCTGCGCGGGCGCCCCCCCCAGAGGTCGCCTCGCGGCCCCGCCTGCGAAGGCGCGGCCGAGGGACGGCGCCGCAAAGCCGCCGCCGAGCGGCTCGAACTTGAAGGCACCGTTCGCGCCGCGCAGCCGCTTGCCGTGCGCCTCGGGGCGGGGCGGCGGCGCGGCGTTGGGCGTCCGGTCCTCCTTGTCGAGGGCAAAGGCGGGGAAAGCGTCCTCCTCCTCCGCCTGCCCGCCCTCCTCTTCCGAGAGGCGGACTCTGACCTGCCGCGACTCGTCCGAGAAGCGGAACTTGACCTTGCGCGACGACTGCTGCGACCCGCGCGGCCGCACCAGGTGCGACGGCGTGTAGCGCTGCGACGGCGTGGCGCCGCTGCCGGACGCCGGGGCGGGCGACGAGAGGCGCGGGGAGCGGCGCGGTGCGGCGCGCGGTGCGGCGGCCTCGGCCTCCCCCTCGGCGCCCTCGGCAAGAGAAGACAGCTCGGCGGCGCCCTCGGGAAGGAGCGGCCGCGCAGCACAGAGCGCCGACGAGTCCATGTCGAGGAGGTTCGCCGTCGACATGGCGGGCGCGGCGGGCTCCCTCGCCGCAGGTGGCGCCGCAGGTGGGCGCCCCATCTCGGACTGGATGGACGCGCTGAGGTTGACGGCCGAGCCGCGGAAAAGCGCCGCCACCTCGGCCGGCCGCTCGCGCTCCGACGGCTCGTACTGCCCGAGGGACACCGCCGCGCTCTGCCTCAGCGCTGCGGCGGCCTCCTGGCTCACCGGCCGGGCGGGCGCGGCCAGCTCGCGTGCCGCCGACGCGAGCTCGCGCACTCCGTCGCTCCGCAGCTTGCGCAGCTCCGCCTCGGACGCCTCGAGCTTCGCGCGCGCCTCGCGCAGCGCCGCCTCGGTCGCGGCGGCGCGCTTGCGCTCGTCGGCGAGCTGGGTGCGCTGCTTGTCGGCGCCTTGCTCGAGCAGCAGCGCGTCCGCCTCCTTGCGCTGGCGCAGCTCGACGAGCTCGGCCTCCATCGCCGCCTGCGCCTCCCGCCCCTCCTTCGCTTCGCCCTCCAGCCTCGCGAGCCGCGCCTGCGACGGCAGCGGCGGTGAGGGCGGCAGCGGAGGCGGCCGAGGTGGCGACGGCATCGCCGGCGGACGGGGAAGAGGTCGGCGGCGAGGGAATCGGAGGGAGCGGGGTCGGGGTCGGGGTGCGCGCCTCCGCAGTGCGCAGCTCGGAGACGGCGCGCTCCTCCGCGCCGCGCGCCTCCTTGAGCTCCGCGAGAGAGGCGCCCTCGACGCGGCGGCCGCTCGCCCGCCCGAGCTCCACCTTGCGCACTCGCATCCCGAACTCGAGCGAGCAGAGCGACTCGGAGGCCGCCTTCCGCCAGGGCGAACGGGGAGGGTCGAGGAGGGGCACCGCGCCCGCCGCGGGCGGGGGAATGGGTGGCGGCGGCAGAGAGCGGTGCGGAAGCGTCTCGGGAGGTCTGGGTGGCGGCGGCGCCTCGGCAGACGGGTTGATATTGACGAACATGAAGGTCTTGGAGTTGCCGCCGAGCGAGTCGGCGAGCAGCTGCGTCAGCTTCGAGTCGCGGAAGGGCACGTGCTTCGCCTTCTCCTGTAGCTTGGCCATCACGTTGCCCAGCGCGGAGAGGCTCTTGTTGATGGCCTGAGCCTCCAGCATGCCCTGCCTGCAGGGTGGGAGGGGGGGGGGGGGGGTGACAGCACGCACAGCACGGAGCACGCCCTCCGACGCGGGCGTCTGCGGGAGCGCCGGCGGTGGGGAAAGGGCGACGCAAAGGGAGGGACACGGCCCCTCTCCCTCCCGCCGCGCTGAGCGTGTGTCCGCGGGTGCGCAAGCTAGCGCTCGGCCGGCACCGTAGGCGAAGATGCAGACGTTGAACCCGTCGAGCACCGACTCGACGCATGGCTCGACCTGAGGGGGATATGGGGAGATATGGGGAGATATGGGGAGATATGGGGAGATATGGCGCACGGCTCGACCTGAAGGGAGGGGCAGGAGGCGGGGGTTCGCCACGCGCCGGTGCGGGGCGAGAGGCGGACTATCCCTCATGTCTCGGAGGGCCGCCCGACGGCATTCAAAGGGCGTGGCCTTGTGTGTCTGTGCTCCGCGTCTGTGCGCGCGCGTCGGTCGGTCTGTCTGTGCGCCCCACCTCCTCAAAGACGGCCTCCTGCCCCGACCCGGGCCCGAAGGCCTGGTCGAAGGCGAACGAGCGCCGCCCCTCCCGCGTCCCCGGCTGCGCCACCAGCACGTCTGTCGGGGTCGGAATCGTCACCACCGCCGCGCCCTCGCCCGCCGCCGTCGGCCGCACGCGGCACATCACCCGGATCGAGCCCTTGAGCTCCTGCAGCTGGTTCTGGAGCAGCCGCCGCCGCCTGCGCTCCGCCTGCCAGTTGCCCACCGCCTCCAGCCGCGCCGGCTCCACCGCCCGCGCCGCCCCCTCCATCGCCTCGCGGAGGTACCGCTCTGCACGCTCCTCGATGCTGCAACCACTGCCCTCCTCCTCCTCCTCCGCTTCCTCCTCGCCCTCCGCAGCAGCCGCCGCCGGCTCGTCGCCGCTCTGGCCGGCGCCCTCCGCCTCGGCCGCATCGCCCCCGCCGCCGGCGCCCGCGCCCGCCGCCAGCTCTGAGCGGACGGCCCTCGACGCGACATCAAACGCGGCGAGCACCTGCTTCTGCACCTTGCGCGGGCTCGGCGGCACGGGCTTGGCCCGCATCTCGGCCAGCTCGGCGGCGAGGCTCGCCGTCTCCTGCCGCACCCGCTCGTCGCACTGGTCGGCCACCGCCTGCGCCCGCGCCAGCTGCCCGCTGAGCAGGCGCAGCTGCGCGCGGGCGTCGTCCAGCTCTCCCTGCAGCCGGCCGCGGGTGGCCTCGCTCTGGGCGAGCGCCGCGGCGGTGCCCTCGGCCTCCTCTTGCAGCTCCTGCAGCTGCGCCTCGAGACCCTTGATCTTTTGCGTCAGCTCCCTGGTCGCGAGAGCGGGCGGGCGTCAGCCGGCGAGCGAGAGGCGGGCGCACGGATCGGGGAGGGGTCCGCGCACGTCACGCGGTCCCAGTAGCCCTCCATCCGGCTCGGCCGGCCGGCCGGGCTGCTGGCGGAGTGGATCGTCTCGCCGTTCGGAGCCGACAGCATTGAATTCAAAGCCTGGGCTAGCCGCTCGGAGAAAAAGAAAAAAATTGTTTCTTGCGCATTGATATGCCATGTCCGCCTAGCGTTTGTTTTCTTAACATCGAAGGCTAAGCTCAAAGAAATTCGGGCTGAAACACGACCCCGGACCCGAGACGCACAAGCAAGCACAGACAGTCGAGAAGGGAGAGACAGCAACGACAGTCAGAAGCGTGTTCACTGGCACTCGGCAGGGGCCCAGTGCCGAAAGAAAGCGTGGATGAGTACGCATCGAGCTCAACTGCCTCGCCTTCCTCGCAGGAGTCGCTTACGCGGCTCCCGTGGTGTGTGGTGCCTTTCTGTCGAGGACATCGTCGATACGCGGCTCCCGAGGATACCTGATGTTTACGAGAAATTCTTTTTCTAGCGATGTCCACCCCGCCGCGGCGCCGCTCGCGCCGCCTGGCCGCCGCTCGCTCGCCAGACACGCCGTCGCCCGCCCGCCTCCTCGACCTCCCCAGGGAGCTCCTCGCGCGCGCCCTCTCTCGCTGCGACCCCGCCGACATCGCTCGCGCCGCGGCCGTCTCGCTGCTCTTCCACGCCTCGCTTGCGCTGGAGGGCATCCGCTTGCGCCTGCAAGAGCGCGGCTTCGAGCTGCCGGCGCAGCCAGAGGGAGAGAGCTGCGCCGTGCGGTGGCTGTGCTTATATGCCTTGCTGCGCGAGTCCAACCCGCCGGCGAAGGCGGCGGCAGGCTGCTTCCACAGCGTCTTCATCGACGGCGAGGGGCGGCTCTCGTCGTGCGGCTATGCTCTGTCCTTCCCAGGGTTACTCGGCCACGGGGAGGGCGTGACACGGCTCAACACGCCGACGCGCCTCTCGTCAACGCTGGGCGAGCGCGCCGTGAGCGTGTCGGCTGGAGACGCGCACAGCCTCGCCCTCGCCGCCGGCGGCGCCGTCTGGAGCTGGGGCAGTGGAGGCTTTGGCAAGCTGGGCCACGGCGACGAGCAGGACCAGCTGCTGCCGAAGAAGGTCGAGGCCTTGGCTGGCCAGCGCGTCGTCGCCGTGTCGGCTGGAGGCGGGTACAGTTTCGCCCTCACCGCCGACGGAGCCGTCTGGAGCTGGGGCTGTGGAGGCGACGGCCAGCTGGGCCACGGCGACCCGCAGAACCAGCTGCTGCCCAAGCAGGTCGAGGCCTTGGCTGGCCAGCGCGTCGTCGCTGTGTCGGCTGGAAGGCACAGCCTCGCCCTCGCCGCCGATGGCGCTGTCTGGAGCTGGGGCCGGGGCTACTTTGGCCAGTTGGGCCACGGCGACGAGCAGGACCAGCTGCTGCCCAAGAAGATCGACGCCTTTGGTGGCCAGCGCGTCATCGCTGTGTCGGCAGGAGGCCACCACAGCCTCGCCATCACCGCCGACGGCGCCGTCTGGAGCTGGGGCTGGGGAGGCTACGGCAAGCTGGGCCACGGCGACGAGCAGGACCAGCTGCTGCCGAAGAAGGTCGAGGCCTTAGCTGGCCAGCGCGTCGTCGCTGTGTCGGCTGGATGGTCGCACAGCCTCGCCATCACCGCCGACGGCGCCATCTGGAGCTGGGGCAGCGGAGACGCGGGCAAGCTGGGCCACGGCGACCTGCAGAGCCAGTTGCTGCCCAAGAAGGTCGAGGCCTTGGCTGGGCAGCGCGTCGTCGCTGTGTCGGCTGGGCTCGCGCACAGTCTCGCCATTACCGCCGACAACGCCGTCTTTACCTGGGGCAAGGGCGAACACGGCTGCTTGGGCCACGGAGAGGACTTGTCGAACCAGCTGCTGCCCAAGAAGATCGAGGCATGGTCGCAGGAGTGAGAGGGGGGGCGAGGGGTGCGGTGGCTGATAGGAGTACGACCGACTCGGGAGAGGCCGAGATCCGGATACTTAGGGTGGGAGGGACTAGTCGGGTGAAGTTCTGAAAAACGTGCAGCACTTCTAGCCAACATCGACAAAAGTCACTCTCTAGCCCCGCGGCGAGCGGCCCCGCCGGAGGCGAAGAAAATTTTGCCATCTAGGCGCTCTCTAACACACATTTTTGCACAAATCGACGCCTCCAAACAAGTTCAATAAGACTGGTCTTCACTGCAGCACGCCTCGAGCGAGTAATGCGTCTGTAGGCCAATATAATAGAGCTTCTCGCGCGCGCTCCTCAGCTGGCGGTCCGCAGGGCCGCCCGGGCCGGGCGAGAAGCGCAAGCCCGCCAGCCGCACCATGTGATTCACGATGATGAGCGTCTCGGCCTCGAGCAGCGTGTAGGTTACGAGGAGCGAAGCTTGCCCTCGCACTCGCGTTGCTCGAGCCTGAGCCACTGCGCCTTGACCACGAGATAGCCCGCGGGGATGGTGTCGGTGTTGACGACCGTGTCCTCGGCCAGCGTGTACGCCTTCCCCTTGAGCACCGCCAGCCAGTAGAGCCCCTCGAGCGACTGCTCGCGCCGATCTGCGCGGACAGCGGCCAGCTGCTTCGCCTTGAGCGACGCGGCCCACACCTCCAGCGACTCCATCTGCCGCAGCTCGGCCGTCTCGCCTGCGGCACGCGGCGCCTTCTGCTTCTTGACCCTGCCAAAGACGGCGACCATCTCGCAGTCCCCCCAAAGAAGAGCGATGCACGGCGGGCACGCGCATGGAATACCGCGCCTGTGACAGGGAGCCGGTGCGGGGGTCAGGAGGGGCGCGTGACGTGCGGCAACACACGGCACACTACACGGCACGGCACGATGAGCATAACACGGCTCAATACTAGCGTACGTGGTCAGGAGACCATCCTTCCGCGCGGCGGCCGCATCCTTGCAATCCCCCGCGAACATGTGGTCGTCGTGTGAGCCGTTGAAGCCATCAGCCTTGGGGACGGCAAGGGCGGTGAACTTGGAGTGCTGAAAGAAGCCGTAGAAGATGCGCTCGATCGCCCACCAGCCCTCCTTGAACGACTTCGCGACAGCCGGGGTCGCTCGTGCCTTGGCGAGATAGAGGACGACGTTGCGAGAGAGCCGGAGAATATGAAATTGCCCGACCGGATCGCCTCAGTGATCGCGTTCGACGGCAGGTTGCTCAGCACATCGCAGATGTTTTTGCCGTGCATTGACTCGAGCGTCCAGTGCACGCGCAAGATGCCGAATTTGGTGAGCCACTCGGCAGTCTGATGGTAGTTGTCTTTCCCATCGAACTGCGCGGCACACTGATCCGTCAGGGAGAGCTTCCGCTGGTAGTCGGGAAAGTCGGTTACGGGGAGGGCTACTACGAGGTCTCTGCGCGGGATGTGCTGGGGCCCTGCGCCCCAGTCGATTGCCGCATAGTTCGTCGTAGTAGCCCTATCATAAACCTCATATTCACACCTTGCACTTTGAAAAAAAGAAATGTCCTGCTTTTGTCGAAGATCCGGAGGGTTTATCGGAGCATCACCCAGTCCCTAGAGCTATCTGAGGTGTGTCGCACCTCGTGCACCTAAAATTCTTTTTTTCTGCGCGGCGTCGGGAGGACTACTTTACTAGGGGGCCCACAGCGCCGGTTGTGTCTGGGAGGGAGGGAGTGGCGGGTGCACAGGTCTTGCTCACCCACGGCACCGGGCCGGTGCTTGCACTTTGAATGCCGTGGGGCTCCTGCCCGTGTCCGGGCGTGGAGATGCGAGGGTCGCCCCCCCTTGCCCCACCACTTTGTGTGTGTGGAGACGTTTTACCTTACCTTACCTCTGCTCGCCGCGACCACGATGGCTACTCCGATGCTCCGCGCCGACCCGTCCTACCCGACGGTGGCACTCTTCCACATCTCACGCTGAGAAAGATTCTGAAACGGCGTGCAGCAGAGTCGCCGACGAGTCGGTCCGCGTGCCTCCTCGTGTCGCGCATCGTTCTCACGAACGAAACCCGTGAACTAGCCGGGGCAGTCGGAGAAGGGGCAACTCCGTGCACTGACGGTCGGCCGCCAGAAAACACCCTGCGTGGATCGCGTCACAGCAATCCTCGATACCCAACGTACAACAAAACTCCCTCGCACAACACTGGGCACGGGACTGGCGCGCACTCGAGAACCATCGAAAGGCTTAGCTCAAAAAACTCAACAAAAAGAAGTCGCGAAGCGCGTCTCGGCATTTCCTCGGCCTCCTCCTAGCGATGGGCGCCTGCTTCTCGTGCGAGACGGACGGCTCTGAGCGGCAGGTGATCTTGCTCTCCCTTGACGACGGCTCCGTGGTCCGCGCGCGCAAGTCGCGGCTCTCGCTCTTTGCGGACCTAGCCAACGTGCGACCCGACGCCATACCCACGTTTGCCATTGACGTCAAGGAGAAAGCGGGGCCGCTGTGCGTGTTTGGCACCAAGGCGTCTCCGGAAGGGCTCAAGCCACTCAAGCCCAAGGACGCGAGCGCGGTCGACAAGGCGCTATGCAAGCACGACCTCTTTCACGGTGGAGAGCAGGGCCTCTTCGCCGCGCACGCCACGCTGGACGCCAAGCCCTGCCTGCTCGCGCTCACCTCGCTTGGGCGCCTCTTTGCGGTCGCGGGCGGCGCGGCTTTTCGGACGCTGCACGTGACCCAGCTCTGCGAGGCGCGGCGAGCACCACACCCCTCTTCTCTCCTCCCCGCTCTCTCCGCTCCTTCCCGCTCCTCTGCGCGGCTAAACGACGAATGGATGCATGGCCCCTCATGGATGAGTAGGCGCGGCTCGACGAGGCGTCACCCGGCCTGCTGCGGCTCGGCCTCTCCTCGGGCGAGCCGCCGTGGCAGGTCGCCACTTCGCCGCGGGCGGCCGCCGAGCTGCAGCTGCAGGTCTGGGTCGCGCACTCTCTCGCAGCCGGCCGGATAGAGCTGCAGACGGGCCTGCCGGTGCCGCCGCTCGAGCTGCTGCCGCCCGTCTGCGAGGTGGACGGCAACCTGCACGCGGCGTGGACGATGCACGCGAATGCTCTCGGCCAGGTCGAGGTGGAGGAGGTGCTTTCGCCGGTGGACGAGGCCGCCGGTGTCACCACCGCGCTGCAGTGCGTGCGCGAGTGGGCCGCCACAGGCGAGGTGGACGCCTCTCGGCTGCGGCCGTCGGCGGTGCGACCCCTCGCGCGCGCGCTCGCGCACAACGGCGCGTTCGTCGCCTTCAAGGTGTCTGGCAACGCGCTCGGCGCCGAGGCGGCGGCGCTCGCGCCGCTCCTCGGCTCGAGCCGCACGCTGGTCGCATTCGAGATGCGCCGCGCAGGCGCCTGGCCCGGCGGGACGCGCGTGGCGGCTTTCCCCTTCCTCTTCCATCCCCAGCCCTTCTCCTGTAGGGGCCGGCCCGGCGGAGATTGGCGCGCTGGGCGACGCGCTCGCGGGCAACCGCTTCGCCTCCCTCTCCGTCATCGACCTCTCGGACAACGCCGTGGGGGACGCGGCCTTCCGGTGTTCGCCACCGGGCGGCTGCCTCATGTCCCTGTGTCCAGGCGCGCCTGTTCACAACGCCCCCCCTTCTCTGAAGGCTCGCCGCCGGGCTGCGCTCGCTGCGCGCCGGGCTGCTCGCGGAGCTCAAGTTGGTGCGGTGCGGCGTCGGGCCCGAGGGGATGGAGATGGTCCTGCTCGCCGCCGGCACGCAGAAGAACCTGCTCGAGCTGCGGCTGGGAGGCAACACGCTGGGCGGGCGCGGCTCGCAGGCCCTCGGCACCCTCCTCCCGCAGGCGCCCAGCTTGACCGCCCTCGACCTCGCCGGGACCGCTCTCGAGCCGGCCGCAGCGTTTGGCCCCGCCGCCGCTAGCGTCGACCCCTTCTCCGCCAGGCCGGAGCCGCGCGCGCTGCAGAAGCTGGCCGAGCTCGACCTGTCCGGCATCGGCTGGTCGCTCCCGCTCCTCGACGGCGTCGAGGCGTGCGGCCCGAAGCTCGCAGCGCTCTCGCTCGCGGGGGGCGGGGACTTCGCGATGCTCAACAGCGCTGCGGCGGACAGGCCCCCGCGAGTCTGCTGACATCTGTCTCGTTCCGCCGGGCGCGTGGACAGCTGTCTCTCTGTCTGCAGGCCCGCCTTCCTGCAGCGGCTGGTCGCGGTGGCGGCGGCTCGGCCAGGCATGGAGCTCGACCTCTCGACGGCCGACCCGGCGGCGGTGCTGCTGCCCGAGCTGCTGCCCGCTCTGCGCTCCTCGCGGCTGCTGCCGCCCTCGCTCGCGCTGCGCGGCGACGGGCAGCTCGGCGACGACGGCCTCGTCGCGCTCGTCGGCGTGCTCGTCGGCGTTGACGCGGAGGCCAGCTTCTCGGAGCCTTCTCGGAGCCTTCTCGGAACTTTCCTCCAGGCGTGCTCGCCGACCTCGACGCGGAGGCGAAGGAGAGCGGGACGCCGCGGCTCCACTCGCTCACCCTCTCCTCGGCGGTGCCGCCGCCCGCCGCCGCCGTCTCGACTTGGGGCCTCGACGACCTCAACGCGCTCGCGCTGCTCGACCAGCTTGCGACCGACCCGGCGGGCGTGAGTGCAGTCGTCAGCCGGTGGCAGCTGGCTTTGCCGGCGGGCACCGAGCGCGCGGTCGCACAGCGCGCCGCGTCTGTCCGCTCGCTGATGCGGCTGGTGACCACCGCCGACGGCCTGGCCGCGCTGAAGTGCGGCGGCGGCTACCGCTCGCTCGAGCCGGATGGGACATGCCCGGCGGCGGATGGGCGATCGTCCACCCGGCAGCGGGCCGCGCCGAGCTACGGGGTGCAGCTCGAGTCGCTCTTCCGGTTCGCGCTGCCAAAGTCGAGCTCGCTCACCCTGCTCGACGTCTCGGGCAACAACCTGGGCGACGTGGGCCTGAGCGCGCTGGGCGGTGCTCTCAAGCTCAACCGCAGCCTGCGCCGGCTCGAGATCGACAACAACGCGGCCGGCGTGGACGGGCTGAAGAGCATCAACCTCGCGCTCAAGGGCAACAAGAAGGTGCACAGCCTCGCGCTGCCGGACGACGACATCTCCGCGCTGCTCGCGGCCGCCGCCGCGCGGTACAAGCGCTCGCTGAGCGACGAGCTCGCCGCCCGGCAGCTGCTCAAGTCGGCGTACGGCCGCGGCGGGTACTGCAACCACGCGGTCAAGCAGCGCGGCATGGCGGCCCTGAAGAGCGCCAAGCAGGAGCAGGCAAGGGCGCGCGTGGCCAAGGACAAGCTGCGCACCGTCTGCGCGTCGCTGCAGGCGTCGGTGCTCCGGAACGGCGAGGTGGCCACGATCACCGCCGCCGGCAAGAACATGCGCGCCGAGTCGAAGCTGGCGAGCGAGGCGTCGAAGAGTGCGGCCAAGGCGCAGGGCAAGGCGGACGCGCTGCGCGAGGCAAACAAGGAGAAGGTGTGGCTCGGGCGGCACAAGCTGCTGGACGCGTGGGTCAAGCACGCAGGCGTGCTCGGCAAGCGCGGCCACGACGTCGGCTGGTTCGGCGAGTGGCGGAGGGCGTGGGGCAAGCCGTACCTCAACCCGGCCGCGCTGGCGGCGGTGCAGAAGCGGATGCCGGCCGCGCAGCGCGAGGAGTGGGAGGCGCTCGTCCTGGGCGCCGAGGACACGTTCGCCTCGGAGGAGACTCTCGACGCGCGCGTGCAGGGGCTGCTGCAGGAGGCGAGGATGCACCGCTCGCAGGCGGAGTTCCACGCTGCGGAGGTGCAGTACCACGGCATGTTGAGCGAGAAGGACCCGCGCGCCGAGGCGCCGCCGCGCCTCGAGGCGGGGATTGTGCGCACGGAGCCGCCCGGCAAGGAGCGCCCCGGCCAGTTTGGCTCCGGCTACTACACCAACTGGGACGCTCGGCGCAACTGGATCTACGGCGAGCTGCGCACCGCGATGGCGCAGCCGCCGCCACGCGACTATGCGTGGAAGGGCGCCGCCGCCGAGCTCGCGCCTGCCGCGCCGGCGGCGAGCGCGCCGATGGTCTCGTACCCGAAGCCGGAGCTGCCGCGCGCCGAGGCCGCCGTCGCCAAGGCGGTGGCCAAGGCCGCGGCCGTGCCCGAGGTGTCGATGGGCACGCCCGTCTACACCGCCACCGCCGTCGAGGAGGACGCCGCCACCGCGAAGAGCGCGGCCGCCTTTGCGACAGCCGCCGAGCCGCTGCCGTACCCGGCCCCCTTCAGCCGTCCAGCCACTCCCGTCTCCGAGGCTAGGCGAGATGACCCGAGTGACCCCCGAGACTAGGCGATGCTCGTCAAGGGCTCCGTCTACGAGGCGTCCGCCGCAGGGCGGGTCGCCAGCCGCGCCACCTCCGGCCCGCCGCCCGCTGTCAGCCCCACCTTCGAGCTACCGGCGGCGCCGGCCGCGCCGGCCGCGCCGGCCGCGCCGGCGGCGCAGCAGGCGCAGCAGGTGATGCTGGTGGCGGTGCCGCCGGGGGTGTACCCGGGCATGCAGCTGCTCGTGGCGGCGCCGTCCGGAGGGCAGGTGCAGGTGACGGTGCCGCAGGGCGTCGGGCCAGGATCGCAGCTCCAGGTCGCCATCCCCGCCGTCGCGAGCTCGTCGCGCGGCTCGAGCGCGCCGCCGCCGCCGCCGCCGCCGCCGCCCGCCAACCCGGCCGCGACGGCGCCGTACCGCCCGCCAGCCCAGAAGCAGTACACCTACGCGCGCGGCGACCGGAAGTACTACCTCGACCAGCAGCAGTCGGGCTTCGGCGGGCTGGGAGGGTACCACCATTACCAGACGTACCGCCGCGACACCGCGCTGATGGCGCACCGGCCGTACCACTACCGCCACTACGCGCATTCGTACTACTACCACGACCCCTTCTTCTGGGGGCTACCGTACTACGGCTACCCAGGCTTCTACTGCTACGGCTGGAACCACCACCATTGCGGCTACTACGGCGGGTACCACGAACACCACCACCACCACCACCACCACGGCGAGGGCGAGGGCGAGGGCGGCGCCGACGACGCCGAGGGCGACGTCGGCGGCGACGAGGCTGTGGCGGACCCGGTCGGCGACGGCTTTGGCGAGGATACCGTCCTCGAGCCGGCCGCGGACGACCTTGCCGAGGACGCCGACGCCGACGCCGACATCGACGCCGGCGTGGGCGACGAGGCTGACGCGGTCGACATGTACGCCGGCGCTGGCCCGCGCGACTTGCCCGACGGCGGGCCGATGGGCGGAGGCGCAGATGCCGCACACTCAACACTATGCGCGCCCACAGAGGTGGGAACGCAGAGGCGAGGCTCTCTTCTCATAGGCGGCAGCGGGAGGGTGGCTGCCCTCGCAGCCTCAGAGCGGCGTCGCTTCGAAGAGGTTGCCGCCGCCGCCGCTGCCGCCGCCGCTGCTGCACGCGACGGCGGCGCGTGGCTGTCGATCGAGCGGCAGTGGGCTCGGCGCAAGGCCGAGGCGGAGGACAGCTTCTTCGGCCGGATGACGCCGCTGGCCTACGCGACGGTGCAGGGCTGGCTCGCGCCGCCGGAGGGTGCGCACTCTCCCCTGCTATGCTCCTCTGCTCCTGTCGGAGACGCCCGTCCGCGACATGTCCGCGACATGTCCCGCAGGCGATATGTCCGCGCGCGTCACCCTCGTGACGCAGTGCTCGCTCGACCGGCTCCCCCGCCTGCGCGCAACGCTCGAGGCGTGGCGCGGCCCCGCGTCGGCCTGCCGTCTTCGTCGACGCGCCGCTGCCCCTCGGACCTTTCTCTGAGCCCCCTCCGCACCTTCTTGCAGGTCGCGGTCTACATCGACGCGCCGCGCGGTTCGGCCGCCGCCGCCGAGCGCGAGGCGGCGCTGGCGCAAGAGCGTCGCCACCTCCCCGCCGCCGTCTACACGCAGCTCTCGATCTCGCTGCTGTACGCGCGCGGCGGCGGCATGGCGGAGGGCGGCGCCGAGCCGGGCTCAGCCGAGGAGTACGATTCGCTCTACCCGATCAACGCGCTGCGCAACCTCGCCGCTGGCGAGGCGCGCACCGAGCTCGTCTTCCTCCTCGACGTCGATTTCGTGCCCTCCGCAGGCTTGCTGCGCGAGCTGCAGCAGCAGCGGCCGGCGCTGCTCGACACGCTCGCCGCCTCGCGCACCGCGCTCGTCGTGCCGGCCTTCGAGGTCGACGCCGCCGCGCCGATGCCGCGCGTGCAGTCGTCGCTCTCTGCGCTGCTGCGGCGCGGCGCCGCCTCCTCCTTCCACGAGGCTCACTTCCGCCACGGGCACGGCCCCACCGACGCGGCGCGCTGGGCGACCGCTTCGGCGCCGTACGAGGTCGCCTTCGAGGAGTACTACGAGCCGTACATCATCGCCTCGCGCGCGTGGCTGCCAAATTACGACGAGCGCTTCCGCGGCTACGGCATGAACAAGGTGCAGCACCTGCGCGCCGTCGCCGCCGCCGGCGCGCGCTTCGTCGTGCTGCCCCTCCACTTTGCCGCCGCGCATGAGCACGCGAAGTCGGCAGCTTGGACCCGTACCCTCGGCCCAGCCGCCCACCCAATGCACAAGATGCGCATCGCCGCGCTCTACGCACGCTTCAAGGCCGACGCGCCCCCGCTGCCGCCGCCGCCGCCGCCGCACACCCGCGCGCCGCTCGCCGCCACGCCGAGCGGTCCGGCCGAGACGGCACGGTCCGCCAAGAAGCACCGGGGCGACGAGGGCGGCGACGGCGCGGGCGCCGACGGATCGCCCGCCAAGCGGGCATGCTTGCCCGCCCGCCCGCCCGCCCGCCGCCCCGCACGCCCTCGCGGCAGGCAGGCCGTGCGGTCCGCCGCGTGAGGGCGCGCCCCGTGAGGCGGCGGCCGAGTGTCTCACAGAGAACTCAATGTATGATCTCACTTACAAGGTGTTGTAAACTCTGAAAATACTCTTGCGTCGCCACGCCCGCGCACGCCCCTGCGGGATATCGATTGAGTAAGTGGGTGATCTTGATATGCTCACATAGTACTCAGCTGCTCCGCTTATACCTACCTGTGAACGAGGTTCTTGTTTCTTATCACCCTACTGTGAACCTTCCTTAGGTCCGCCTCTCACACCCTCGCTGTCTGCGATGTGAGCTTCTGAGCACTTGAGCACTGGATAGGGTCGATTCCGCGTGGTACGGGACCCCTCGATCGTCTCGCCCTCCCTCTCTGGCGTGTTCATTGGGGGGGGTCATAACAAACACGGTACAGGATCGAGGTGCACGCTGCCGAAGCAGTGTCGTCCCCCCTCTCCCCGACGGCGATGGCGGTGTGACCGATCGAGGCATCGAGCTACAAGAGGAGCTTGTTCAGCAGGATCCGGGATGTCAGATGCACTACCTCACTGGGCCTGAGACCATCGTACGACAGCATCCCGTCACCGTCTCGGATTTATGTGGGGTCGAACCACTCCGGGATGGGCAAGCCCATCAATTACCATCTGGTTAATTGTCAAAATTCCTGTTGTGCAGAAAGGGGAGGGGGCTCTGACGGAGTGTGTGGCGGGAGAGGGCAGGGAAGGGGCGCGGGGGAGGGGGGGTGGGGGGGGCTCAGCCGTGCAAAAAGCATCAGTTAATAATTGTAATGAAGAAATATTGCTCGGCCGTTCATGAAGTCCGTCTCGATCTGGAGGAGACGGGTCAACCCCGTGAGGACCAGATCAGGTTCACATTGTCGTAGCCGGAGGGGATGTTGACCTTTAGCTCTTGGGGCCACCGTTCCGCTTTGGTTTTTTCCCCACAGACCACTCGGGCAACTTTTACCAAATGCCAAAGTTGCACTTGTTGGGCAAAGCTCCTTGTTAAATAAATGATAAATAAATAAATAGGTTGTAGGTTATTTATCGAGGTTGTAGATCTGAGAAGCTGGGAAAAGTTGTGTGTGTTTTTCTGTGACGCGCTGACTTCTGACTGTCTTTGCTGTCTCTCCCTGGGCCGACGATTGTGGTCTGATCGTAAGTGCCCGCCGCCGCCGCCGCACGTTCACCTCGCTCGTTCGGGGCATATGCTACCAGATCACAGTATGGGTTCGTATTCACAGCAGTACGGAGTCCCCTCCCTACCCCTGGAGTGTGGGAAAAGAATTTCACGGAGGACAGCTAACTCTCTCTCACAGCAGACAGGCTCGACACAGGTGCGGACTGGCGGCGGCGGCGACGGCGGCGGCGCGTGCTAGGCAAAAGAATTACAAGAAAGGCAAAAGAATTCATCTTCCGGTGCTTGGCCCCGTGCAACAGCGGTCCGGCAGGCTGCCCCCAAGGCCCCCCGGGCCGCTGCGGGTTTGGGAGTTATGCTTAGGCACAGCTTCGGCGATGGCAGCCCCTCTCTGGGGTGTTGCATAGGCGGGGAGTCTCCCCCGCTGGTCTCCTCCTTCCCATTTTTTCTTTTCTTTTGAGAGCAGGACGCCGGGTTTGTCTTGTATGTGCATGTCGGGCCTGGGTGTGTGTGAGGGGCAGAGGGGCGGGAGCGTGCGGGGCAGAGGCCCAACGTCGGGAGGCTTGTCGGGGTCCGGAGAATTCGAGGGGGGAACGAGGAGGGGGGAATGGGCGGTCGGCGTCGGGGTAGAAGCCGCAGGGCGTACGGGGTAGCCGTCACTTTCCCGCCTCGCAAGGGCGGGGCTGTCCCGGAAAGTGAGAAACGCCGGGCAGCGTGACGCATTACTGAACCCTCCCATACGTGTTTGAGGCTCCTCCTTTGCTGTCCCATCTCCCCATCTCTTTCCCGCCTGGGCGGGGCGGTGGGCGGGCGCGCGGCGCGGCGTGGCGTGTGAGTGTGCGCGACTGCGACGAAGGACCGCTCGCAGAGGACCATTGGGTTTGTACTATTAACAACGAAGGCGCTCTCAAAAAAGAATTCAACAAAACAGAACTCTCTCTCACCGACACAGGTTCGACACAGGTACCAAAAGGAGCACAGCAGACGGCAACCCCTTAGGCGCCGTCGAAGAGACCGGCCCACCTGGCCGGCCGCTCTTCCCCCCTCCCCTCGAAAGCGCGCTCAATCGCTCGCTCGTCGCACTCCACCCCCCGAGCCCACCTTGCCGCGCTGCGGGCCTCCCGCCGCCGGCCATCGCGGGACCGCCGCCCGCCGCCACCCCCCCCACTCCCCCGCGCCGCCCGCGCTCTCAAAAAAGAATTCAGTTGTCTGTTTCGGCGTGTCCTCAAAATCTCTGCTCTGAAATCCTGCTCTGCACGTGGGGACTCTGGCCTCTCTTCATTCTCTCGTCGCCGCTGTGCTCTCGCTGTGCTCTCAACTGTTGCGTGTCGCATGTCCAAGTACCAAACGCGTCCAGAACTGTCGGGCGTGCCTACACTGGTCGATAGGTGGCAACCCGACACTGCGACCTTCATTTTCCGCTGCACCGACACGGAGACCAACGCCCTCGGGCAAACCGAGCAAAGGCTCCTCTCATCGCTCAACATGAGTCCTCTCGTTCGTGCGGGCGATCAGTTCATTCCGACGAGTTGGTACAGCGCGTGGTTTGCCCGACTTTGTGGGGTGTGCGTGCTTGATCTCATCCCGTACAAGCTGATGATCACAGAGGCCACCCCAACGACCTTCGTGACGAGGCACAAGGTCTGTGGGATGATCGCACCAAAGCACGTACGCTCTGACACGTGGCAAGTCGCGTCACTGGCGCCACTCACCATCAAGAGCACTGGGACGGTATGCTCGTGTTGCACGTTCTGCATCACGTGCGGCAGATCGTCCGGAACCACGTACGAGCAAGAGCTGGTGGCAGAGGATGCCGCGATCTCCTTTGGGATCACGCCGCAGGAGCTGCAGCGCGAGTGAAGCCCCGTCGACTCGAATGAGAGAGCGTTCCCGACGAGACCAGCGTGTTGTCAACGGGGATCTCCCCCCTTATAGGCTCCCTTCCCAGCCCAAGCAGCCAAAGCCATCCATGGACTACGTGGCGAAGCAGCGCCAAGCCAACACGCCGCTGCCGCAGGACGAGGATCCCCACCCCCCTGCCTAGCTGGATGTCCTCCTCCCATCCCTCATTTGGCGTGTCTGTTTTCTTCGTTCTTTTTCCTGATCCTCGACGCAACCCTAGCTGTGCGGCTGTCCGTTTAGCGTTTTCTTTCTTTCTCTCTCGTGAGCGGCCCAGGCGAGTCTTGCGTGCAACACCCACATTCAATTTCAAAACTCCGTTGCGCGTCTTAGCACAATTTGTCTAAAGTATGGGCCCCGGACTTGTGCTAACTCAGCCGCGTCGAGACGTGACGCGCTGTGGACAGGTAAGTGGCGCTCATCGGGGGATGCTTTGGGGCACCGGTGCCGACCGTGTCGTCGTGTCTGGGCGCTTATCTTGAGTAAGTAAGGCTCGCGCCTACACGTATGGACTTGGTCCTCCCGCGTTGCGCGGATATGAGGGAAGCTACCAACGATGTGGGCCCCCACGTGGTATGGGGGCGAGAGGCCGCGGGCGTTGGCGTGGACTGCGCCTCATGAACGATCATCACCACCCGTCCGCCCGCCTCCGCCGTGGCTACTAGACATGCGCTTTTGGCCGGTAGCCTCTTCGGACATGGTACCGACCGGTGAGTGCACGGAGTGAGCAGTGCGGCACTGAGGCCGACATGAGAGCTGGTGCGGCACACAAGCGAGATGTGTTGCCGCACAGCATTTCCGGCTTACGCTCGATACGTTGGCTGGCACCATGGGCACGTGCGCGAGCCGTGGTGATTGGCTGGGCACAGAGGCTCGGCGCACGGTGGCACAGCGGCCGCCAACTGCTCGGCACGGAGGCTGAGCAGAATGAGTACAACCGCAACATCAACTTGGGTGCTTGCGGATCTTCTGCGACAGAGCGCATCTCCGCCAGCACTGCGGCTGTGTGGACACGAGTATCCCCTCTTGCTTCTCCTTACCGGTCCGTTCTCCTCGCCTACGGACCACCATCGCAGCTGCTGCCTCCGCTACCAGCTCTCGGGCTGCTGCAACGGCAGTTACCGCAAAGATCTCGCACCGAATTTGGACCCTGCCTTTCGCCGCCGCTACTTCCGACGTCGCCGCTCGACACGACCGGAGCTGTACGCGATGAACACGCGACGATCGACACGCCCTCTCTGCCTTGTGTGGCGATTACCACGTCGTGGGGGAGTGTTGGGCATCTGTTCGACGTGGCAATGCCACTCTACCTCATTGCTGTCTCTTCCTCGTCTCGCCTCCTCGCGCTAGCCCGTCCCGCTGTCCAACGCCTCTGGCAAGAAGTCCAATGCGCCTCTACGAGCGTCTCTGCCGTCTGGACGTCTGAGACTGAGCCTGCCATCTCCGACGTCGGCGGCCCGTGGCGCAACATCAACGTTCGGGGCATTGAAGATCGTCCTCACATCCCTGATGCGCTCATCCGCGTCAACGCGGCGAGGCCTCCCAACGGCCCGATCGCCGCGCCGCAAGGGGGCGCCCCCGCTGCCGCTCCCGCGCCCGCCGCGCCTGCCGCGCCCGCTCAAGCCGCCGCCCCGCGACGCTCAGCCCGGATTGCAGCTCGCGGCGCGCCATGACCGAGCTCCACAACGAGCTCCTGTTGCTTCATTATCTCCCCTTTCTCTCTCTCCGCCCACTCGGCCGCGCTTTGACCCCTTCACTGGATCATCTTAGCGCGCAAGTCTTGCCAACAAGCAAGACCATCCTTCGCGAAGACGCAAGGTTGGACGCTTAGCCAGCCCCGCGAGACGCCGGCGGGTAACCGGCATACCTACGCTCAGACACGTTCACACTCTGCTGTTGTTGTCTGCCGCATCCTCATTCATGAAGACTGCGGAGACAATGGGGGAGTGTTGGAGAGTGTGAACTCAAACCTACTTCCCGACCGTAGCCTGACCGTCCTTGTGTAACCGTCTCATGTTTGGTTTGTCCTGCCGCGCACATTGTCATCGACTCGTATCCGACTTGGTGGGCCTGGCTGTGATGATGTAGCGATGGTGTGGGTCTCTAGTGACCTATACAGCTCCTCCGTGTTCCGTCTCCTGACATGGTACCTCCGGTGAGATAGTGGCTGCCAGTTCGAGACTGGGGCCGATCGAACTTGATTTGTTCGGAGGAGGAATCCGGCCAGCACGAGAAGCGGTCACGCACAAGATGATCGACACGGGCATGGAGAACTGGCGCTGAGATAGATCTACACCATCGCCCCGATGCAAGTCCACCTCGACGGAGGAGAGGAGGAGGAACTACGGCGACCGCCGCGAGGGGGCGGAGCGCTCTCGCTCGAGGCCGCTCCGAACGGCTAACGACGGCGACGAGAGTGACGGCTCGAACACCACCGATTAGAGCGAGTCGCGACCGGCGAGGCGGGCAGGCGACCGGTGCGTCTACCAGCGCGCGGACTACGGCACGCGCCTCCTCGAGACGCTCTGCCCGGCAGGCACTCCGCTGGCGGAGAACACGCGCCTCCTCCTCTCGGTGAGAGTGGCCAAAGAGATGGGCATTGACGAGGATGACTATCCACGGTCGAACCAGGCGTGGTCAGCCGAGGCGACAGAGCGCGTCGGGCGCGGCGAGTGCACGCCTGAATGGCGGAGAACCGCATCCGGACACCGGACACGCGGTCCGCGACATCTTCTCCTCCGCCGCCGCTGGCTCAGACAGGAGGAGAGGTAGGAGTGGAGATCGCGACCAGCACCGCCGGCACTCTCGAGCCGGAGCCGCCGCCGCTCTCGCTTGCGCTCGCGATCGTGGCGGAGGCACAGCTACGTGGACCGCGAGCGGTCGACCTGGCGGAGCGCGCAAAATTTCAATAGCGGCCGCAGGCACGGGAGGAGGCGACGGGACGGCGCAACTACACTACAAGCCGCTCGAGGCAGTCGGAGGTAGGTAGGTAGGTCGGAAACAAAAAATCGGTGATTTCCCCTCTAAAAAGGTTTAATGTGTACAGTTATACGCGTGCGAGGCTTGCGATCATGCTCACTAATCCTCCCCTCCCCCCTCAGCCCCACTCTTGAGCCAGACCGGCACACCGCCGGGGCGGCGCCGGGGGCGTGTCGCGTGCACATGTACTGGTCGTGTGTCTGTGTGTCAATGACGGCGGGATCGCAAATCGCGTGTGAGACTCATGTCACGGACTACTTCATGCCTGAGAGGTCGCTGAACTTTATTCGTTTTGACAGTCAGCAGATCCTTTTTCTCAGCGAGTGTGAGAGCCTCCAGCATCTCCATAGACTGATCCTAGACTCCAACCGAGACTAGATCCCACGAGCTACCTCGACAATCGAGACGGGCTCAGATGCGTGCAAGGGGTGGTTGATACCCCTCCTGACCTGCCTTACGATGAGCAGCTTTCGGCCGAAAGGCTCGATGCTCACGACTTCCAGGTCATTCCGCCCCTCCTGCATGCTATAGACCTGCAGCACGCGCCCCTCGGGCGTCAGCACGAACACTCGGCGGCCACAGCGGCTCCTCGACAAGTGGAGTCCGCGGCCGTATCTCGAGGAGAATGGCCGCTGCTCCACGAGATAGAGCCTGTCCTGCACAAAGCGAAGGTGGGTCGGCCCTCCCCATTCGCCGAGTATCTCTCGCAAATGTGCCCCCGCCAGCGAGAACGCATGGACACATCTCCGTTCCGCGTCGCCAACATAGAGCTCGCTGTGCACGATGGCGATACCACTCGGCAAACATGCGTCTGGGAGCCCGAATACGTCTTCGCCGAACTCGGATCGGAGCACGAGTGAGCGGGCGTCGAGGCGAACCAACTTACTACCACCCTCCCCTACGCAGATGGCGAAAGCGACACCATCTGGACCGACGGCGAGCTCACTATAGGCAAAGAAAGATTGGTAGCCGGCTGCGTCGTATCTGTTCTCGGCGAGCACTGCGCCATCGGACAGACGAAGGCGACGCACCAGAGGCGCCGAGCCCACGGCGTATGGGCCATGGATGGCATCAGTCTCGCCGCACGCGTAGATGCAGACGGACGTCACAACGAGGTTGTGAAGACTGCCCGCTTCAGTAAAGGCAGCGAGGGTAAACGTGTGGAGCGGGCGCAGCTCCGCGTCCATGACGTAAATCGTCCTGCTGCCACTCTCCTTCACACAAATGATCTCGTCGGATGGGCTCGCCGCAATCATCCGGATCGGAAAGCCAAGCTCCACGGTCCCAGGCTCTACTGCCCGCAACCCACGCCGCGTTTGCATCGTCTCGGCCCACGCCTGCTGCCAGCTACGGCACACGGACGCAGCCGCAGCGTCCCAGATGTCAAGCGGGGCAAGAACCACCCGCAGAAGGTCGGCCGAGCCGAGGACCGCGTCGACAGCCATTTGTGACGGCTTCAGGATCGCTTCAGCGATGGCGATGTGCCGCTTGCACTCCTCGTCCCACTCGTACGCCTCCCAGCAGTCTGTGCAGTAGGACAACCAGGGATTTGAAAGGTCAGGTGCCAGCGATCGCTGGACACCGCACGCGGCGCAGACTGCTGGGACCATCATGAAGGGGAGTGCAACGCGCAATTTCTTCTTTGTCTCTCTCGAGGCACGGCTGGCACCTGTGGCGCGGGGCTCGTCTTCGGAAAGACCAGGATCGCTCTACTGGCAAAGTTCTGGCTGACACGCGCGCCCGGTCGAGCCTTCGGCGGGCGCGCTGCGGTCGCACGCCTACCCAAGTCATATGCCACGGCGTGCGATCTAGATTCAGCACACGCGCCTCTGCTCGCAACCACTCATCCAATGAACTGTCGTCACCCATGAGTGCGAGTTAGGGCTAGCGGCTGGCCAATAGCCTGTGAGGAGGGCGTCCATAGACACCTCACAAGACCCCACACACGGTCTCGTCCGTGCCTTGCGGCCGGCGACGAGATTGCTAGAGGCGGAGCAAGCCTGCTCTAGTCTCACACGTTCGCCCCTGTCGCCTGTCTGTGTTGTTGTGCTGTTGTTTGTCTCTTGGCACCTTGGAGTGCTGGGGGGGGCGACAGGGGGGACGTGGCCTGAGTGATGTGTACGCCCACTCAGGATGTGTGGCAGCCCGCTGGCTGTGTGTCTTGTGAGCTTGTTTGTGTCTGTGTGTCGCTCGTGCGTGTCGTCATCATCTGTCTTGCGTCCACCCATACCGCGTTGGTGTCCAGTCCGAGCCTGACTGTTCTTCACCTTACTACATACATACATACATCGAGGTTCTCGAGGTGGATATCCTTTGGCCGCGTTGGGTAGCGAGGATTGGTGTCTTTCTTTTTCGTCGAGGTTGCAGCGAGAAGCGGCGAGAGACTGCGAAAAGAGATACGAAGAGGCAGACTCCCCAGGGTGGGCGACGGCTAGCGCATCACACTCTCCTCTCCTTAAAATCCCTGTGTGGTGGCGGCGTGCCGTTCTCCCATCCCTCCCTTGGGTTGTGTGTTTTCTTTCTTTCTTTTCGTCGAGGGACTGGCAGGCGGCGGCGCCGCAGGACGAGGCAGAAGAGAACGACGCGACAGAGGAGGAAGTGACAAGGGAGAGAGCGACGAGAGAGAGTGGGACGGCCGCGAGGTGGCATGAAGGTTGCAGCGAGAAGCGGCGAGAGACTGCGAAAAGAGATACGAAGAGGCAGACTCCCCAGGGTGGGCGACGGCTAGCGCATCACACTCCTCTCCTTAAAATCCCTGTGTGGTGGCGGCGTGCCGTTCTCCCATCCCTCCCTTGGGTTCTCTGTTTTCTTTCTTTCTTTCGTCGAGGTGGCATGAAGGTTGCAGCGAGAAGCGGCGAGAGACTGCGAAGAGAGATAGGAAGAGGCAGACTCCCTAGGGTGGGCGACGGCTAGCGCATCACACACCTCTCCTTAAAATCCCTGTGTGGTGGCGGCGTGCCGTCCTCCCATCCCTCCCTTGGGTTGCGTGTTTTCTTTCTTTCTTTCTTTCGTCCTCCCATCCCTCCCTTGGGTTGTCTGTTTTCTTTCTTTAGCCTCTAAGAAAAAGCATTGAGCTGCTACGGACCGACACGTACCCTGGGTTAACTGCGGCGGCGCACTTGGGCACTTGGAGTGCATTCATTGACCGCACAGCGACCTGCTCTGACGGTCGGCCGTCAGGAAACACGCCTGCGTGGATCGCGTCACACCAAACCTCGCTACCCAACGCGGCCAAGGATATCCACCTCGAGAACCTCGAGAGCACAACGAGAAAAAACTGTTCTCACCGAGGGCGAGGCGCGACCGGCCTCTCCTTCGCTGCTCTCATCAGGCGTCGACGGCCCGCACCCCCAGCCACAATGCTTCCGTTGACCCTTCTCGCCTCCACGGTCCACGCCAGCTCCTCCACCTGGCCGACCGTCGATTGCGGCTCGCTATTGAGGCCCACTGCCCACCTCGGCAGCGTGCACCTCGATCCTGTACCGTGTTTGTTATGACCCCCCCCAATGAACATACCAGTGAGGGAGGGCGAGACGATCGAGGGGTCCCGTACCATGCGGAATCGACCCAATCCAGTGCTCAAGTGCTCATTGCTAAAAAAGAAAAAGATCGTGTGCGCTCCCTGGCTTCCTGGATTCCAACTTTTTGCGGGGTAAGGTATGGTAGGGTCGGCGCCAAAAGGGTGGGGGGGTATGGTCCTGGCCGCCGGAGGCGGCCTGCTCGACGGGTGGGGGGGTATGGTCAATCGCTGGAGCGGCCACGTTACAACAGGGTTCGAACCCAGTACACAGCCGCCGTACACAGCCGCGGACACGATGCCGACTCACAGCGGCCGCTTCGATACTGTCGCGGGCCTTCTCGCCGCGACGCCGCCTCAACTTCGGCTCCTGGACAGCTCGCTGCCCGACGACGCCGAGCGCGCCGCTGTGCGCAGCTGCTGCGCTGGTACGCTTGCGTCTTGCATCGCACAGCTCGACGCTGCGATTGCACCGCATGCCGTCCGCATGATGGACGGGAGGCTTCCGACAAGCGACGCTTTCCGTGGCGACGACCACGATCTCAGCAAGCTGAAGGCGCTCAAAACTGTCGCCACGATGGTCCTGCAGGACGGACCGTGCTCTATCGCGAGGCCTGCGCGAGTCTCGTCCACGCGCGCTCCACCTTCTTCTCGGACCTCAACGCGGCGCTCGATGCCGATGTCTTTGATTCTGCCTTTCGATTCAAATCGCCGTCGTGGCTCGCGAAGCGCGCGGGGCATGAGCTGTTGGCGTGCGTACCGCTCGTGCGCGTGCCTTTGGCCAGCTATGGCGCGGAGGGCGGCGTGCGATGGCGGAGGCGGAGGTGGCGCCAGCGGAGGCGGCGGAGGCGGAGGCCGTTCCAGCGGAGGTGACCATGGTTCCAGCGGAGGTGACCATGGCGGAGGCGGCGCCGGCGGAGACCGCGCCCGCGCCCGCGCCCGAGGTGACCATGGCGGAGGCGGCGCCGGCGGAGACCGCGCCCGCGCCCGCGCCCGCGCTCGCACCGGCCGCGCCCGCGCCTGCGCCCGCGCCTGCGCCGGCACGCAAGGCCCTGGCGGCCTTTGCGGACATGCTCTGAGGGGTGAGCACGATTGCCGGCGGGTCACCTCGCGCAGACTGCATCGCGCGAACACGTGCCGCACGACCGGACGGCCTAACACGACGGTTACTGTGCGCTCGTGTGGTGGGGTGGGGGGTGGGGGGGTATGGTCCTGCTGGCCAGAGGCGACGTCCTGTGCGGGTGGGGGGGTATGGTCGCGGCGCCAGGGCGCCGACCCTACCATACCATACCCCGCAAAAAGTCCGAACCCTGCTTGCGCCTTGCGTTGCGGCGCGTAGAGTGCCGGGGGCTACGGCCGGTTGCTCGAATCACCATTCGCCGTCCGCTCAAGCACGTCCGCACCTACGACACCGGCGAGGCTGGGGAGGACAGCTGCACGCTCGTCACACAGTGCAGCATCGATCGGCTGGGCCGCCTCATCACTCAGGCAGCTCACTGGCGCGGCGCAGTCGCCGCCGCCGTCGTCGCCTACGATGGCGCCACGGGAGAGCATGTCGCAGTGCGCGAGGCGAGGCGGCGCATCGAGGCGGCAGTGGCCGAGATTGGCGCGTGCGGGGTCGGGGTCGGGTTGCCTGTGCGACGCACGATCGCCCTCTACGAGGACGGTGGCCTCGGCCTCTATCCAATCAACGCGGCACGAAACGCTGCGCTCCGGCTCGCCACCACCGAGCTCGTCCTGCTCCTCGACGTCGACTTTCTGCCGTCTACTGGCCTGCACTCTACCGTCGCGGGGAGCGCGGCCGAGCTGCGCCGCCGGTGCGTGGAGGAGCGACGGCTGCTGGTCCTGCCAGCCTTTGAGAGCTGCGCAGACGCCTGTGAGGCCGCGGCACTCGCAGCCGGGGGCAAGCCGGCGCTGGCGGCGGCGGTCGTGGCCGGCCACGCCCGAACTTTCGCGAGCGACGGCCGCTGCGGCGACACCTTCCCCCAGGGCCACCGCGCGACCGACTCGAAGCGGTGGCTCGCGACAGACGGTGCCTACTCGGTCGAGCACGAGGAGGGGTTCGAGCCGTTCGTCGTTGCCTCGCGCCGGCTGGTGCCGCCGTACGACGAGCGCTTCACCGGCTTTGGCAGAAACAAGATCCTCCAGCTCTGGGAGGCGGCGCGGCTCTGCGGCTTCACCTTTGAAGTCGTGCCGTCGCACTTCGTCGTTCACGCGCGCCACGCGGCCTCGCACGCGCAGCGGGCCGTGCTCGGCGACCCGGCGGCAGCGGAGCCCGGCCCTCGGCTGCTGCCGAGCATCAAGGCGCTGTACGACCGCGCGAGGCTCGAGAGGCTTCGCGCGGCGTGTGGCAGCGGCGGCGGCGGCGGCGGCGGCGGCGGCGGCGGCGGCGGCGGCGGCGGCGGGGCAGTCGAGCCGATGGGCTGCTTTGATGTCGGGGCGGCGCTCGCGAGCGACACGAGCGAGGCGGAGGCGCTCGCCATGTACGAGCTGCGCTTCCGATTCGGCGAGGCGAGGCTCGTCGCGGCGCGCGGCGCGGGCGGCGACGGGTCGTGGCTTCGCAGCCGTCTTCGGCGCGCGCCGACCGACATCACGCTCGTGACTTGCCTGACGGATGACCGGATAGAGAGGCTCGCCGCGCAGTGCTCGCTGTGGAGCGGCGTCGTGTCCGCCGCGGTGCTCCTGCCGAGGCGGCCCGCCGCCGCGTGGCGCGCCCGGGCGCGCCTCTCCTCGCTCCACGCCAAGCTCGAGCGAGAGGGGAGCGGCTGCCGACTCGACCTCACCCTGCTGAGGCCGGCTCGCCGGGGCAGCTCGTGCGGCGGCAGCTCGTGCGGCGCCGCGCCGCTGGTGCCGATCAACGCGCTTCGGAACGCGGCACTCGAAGCGGCGCGCACCGACCTCGTCCTCCTGCTCGACGTCGACTTGCTGCCGAGCAAAGGGCTGCACGAGCGGCTCTGCGCGGCCCGGCTCCGCCGCGCCCTCGCTGCTAGCTGCGAGGCGGGAGAGGTGTGGGTGCTGCCAGCCGTCGAGATGTCCTCGACGGGCGCGCGCCAGGCTATCAGCCTCGATTGGGAGGCCAAGGAGGCGCAGGCCGAGGTGGCGACGGGGGCGGAGCAGGCGCAGCATGCGACGGGGGCGGAGCAGTTGCAGCAGGCGACGGGGGCGGAGCCGATGGAGGAGCAGGACGAGGAAGAGGACGAGGACGAGGACGAGGCGGAGGCGATCAGACGTTCCGTGTCGATCGCTTGCCTTCCGCTTGCCGCCGTAGCTCAGCGCGTGCGCTCGGGCGCGCTGCGCAGCTTCCACTCTCTGCACTATGAGCAGGGCCACGGCGCGACTGACTTGTCTCGCTGGGCCGACGAGGTGGCCTCCGCTGGCGACGCCGGCGACGGGTCGAGTGCCGACAGCGGCGAATGCACCGACGGAGGCGGCGATGGCGGAGACGGCGAGAGCATTGGGTACGCGGTTGAGTTTGAGGAGGGCTACGAGCCGTTCGTGCTCGCTTCGCGCCGCCGCCTGCCTCGCTACGAGGAGCGGTTCCGAGGGTACGGCTTCGACAAGGTCTTCTTCTTCCTCCAGCTGCACGAGCAGCAGCGGCCACGCTTCCGCGTCCTCCCCTGCGGCCTCGCCGTTGACGTGCCGCACCGCCGCTCTCCCGACTGGCACGCCACATTCCGCGCCGCCGATTCGCGAGGTCACCGCCTCCAGCTCCTTCGCACGCGGGCGCTCTACTCGCGCTGCAAGCGCGAGCTTGCGTTGCAGCGGCAGTTTGCGGCCGTGCTCGCCGCCTCGGACGACGCTGCCGCGATTGCGTGCTTGCGGGCCGTCGACGCACGCGAGTCGCTCTCGCTGGGGGGAGCTGGCGCCGCTTTTGCCGCCGCGCAGCTTCCTCCTACCGCCTCCGCCGCGCTGTCTGTGCAGACGCTATGCTGGCGAGGTGAGCTGGTCGCGGAGGCAGCGGCGCCGCTCGACGCGCGGCTGCGCCTCGCCGCGCTGCTCTGCACTTCGGCGACGGCGACCGGCTTGCCCCCGACGCCGGCACTGGCGGTCGCGGTGGCGGTCGAGGTGGGCGCTTCGCCCCCTCGCGCCGCTGTCGCAGAGGGTGTTCCCCCGCCTTTGCTCTGGGGCGGCGGGGGCGGCTGGCGCCTCCTCACCACTCGCGGCATGCGCAACTGCGCTGTCGTGTATGGGCCGTCCCTCCCCAAGGCGGGGCCGACCCAGCCCGGGACGGAGGCGGCGGCGATGGCAGCGGCGGCAGGAGCGGCTCCCTGCTCAGTGGCCCCAGCGGAGCGGCTGCGCGTCGCCCTGCCACGCGGCAGCTGGTCCCCATTTGCGACCCTCGCGTCCGGCCTCGAGGTTGGGGGGGTGGCGGTGCGCGCGCACGCACGGCTCCCTCCGGGGACGGACGCCGCAGCCCTCTCCGCCGTGAGCTACGCCCTCCGCTTTCCCAGCGGCTTCGAGTGGGCCCTCGGGGGGACTCTGCCGGGCGTCTTCCTCGACAGCGGCCTGCGCCTCTCCCTCGGGTGGCGCGCCGCCGGTTGCGGGCACGTCAGCTTCACGAGCCCTCGCGGCGGCGACGCTGGCGCCGTGACGCGGCTGGGCACTTGGCATTGGGTGCCGGATCGGTGGCACTTTGTGGTGATTAGTCGGTCGGCCGCAGTCCCCAGCGGTGCGGATCGGCGGTTCGCGGTCTACGTCGACGAGCAGCCCGTTGCGGTCGTCGATCCGCCACAGAGTGGCCCGCTCATCGGCGCTGTCGTGGCGAGCCCGCCGGAGCCGCTCGGCTTGCTGCTCACCCTCTTCTTTGGCGGCGCGACGGACGAGTGGGCAACGCCGCGCGACACGCACGTCGAGGTGGGAGGGTTTACGTGTTGGAAGACATGAGTCGCGGGTCTGGTCGTGGTGTGAGAGTTTCTGCAACACCACGATCGCGTGGGCCGTGGCGCTGGGGCCCGGGCGCTGTTTCTCTAAGTGTTTCTCTACTTCACAAGGAGGAGAGCGGCCCGGGGAGGCGGAAGTCTCTGGGCCGGCACGGGGCCCCCCGGAGGCACCGTGCGCCGCGCGCCGCAGTCGAGTGCGGAAACGGGGCTCCGGCTCTATTAGTCTCTATTAGCACCGACTTCCCGATTAAGCTAGGTTAATCAGAGGGCAGATTTGGAAAGATTTCGAGGAGTACATACAGATAGACCCTCCAACCATCAGAAAACTCCGACCTGATCGGTCGTACTGACCGCCGACAGATCACTCCAGACAGCAGACAGGGGCCGACGTGTGCACGCGGCCGGCCGGGCGAGAGGCTTGACACGATCCGACCCTGCGACCCTGACGCTGCTGCTCTAGCTATCAGACATGCACTGCTGACTGCTGCCACAATGTGCGACCTGTGCTGGCCCACTTGGCGGCCTTCCCGGTCAGTGGTGAGGCGCAGTTCAGAGCTGTCGATGGCGCGATGCCGCACTGGTCCCACATTGGTGACACGAGACCACCACGTTTGCCGGTCCAAGAGAGAGGCACCGGCGCTGTCCTGAGAAGGTGCGTGGTCCCTCTTGACTGCCCATGCGCGCGAGGCTGTGTAGGCATAGCCTCGAGAGTGCCAGCAGCCAATCCGAGGTGACGCGCATTGCGCCAGAAGCGTGCACACGATGGAAGGACACCTTCCTACTGGCCGTACGATCAGGTCGTCACTGAATGCTTGATACTAAGGCCGCGAGCTATGCAGGTGATCAATTGTGCATCATGGCACGGTCAGCTGCGCCGACAGGCTGTCGCAAGGCGTGATAGCATGGCCGCAAGTACGCCGAATTCCCATGAAAACAAGTAAAAAATCGCCAAAAAGAAAAAATCCCGAAAAATCGGCGCCTGCGGCGGGCCATGGGACCCCATCTCCCCCCCGCATGGACACCCTCTGGGCCCCCCGCGCCGGCCCAGAGGCGGAGGTAAAGTCAGTGTAGTGTCTGTCAGTAGACTGTCGCATATGCGGATTCACAAGAGAAAGAAAAAGAAGTTTTAAACCACGCTCCTCTGCTGCTCACACGCTCTGCACAGATGGCACAGCCCCCACTGCGGCTGCCACAGCTGTGACAGCGATGGGTTCGCCCTCACTGGCCCTCAGTCACTTGTGCTGCGGCTTGTGTGAGCGATACTGCTCGGCGACTGTCGGCACACTGTGAGACCATGGGTGGGAGGAGGTAAAACCACGGTACCAGCGCTTGGTCACATCGGCCCTGAGGTCAGATCTTTCTATTACTCTGTTGATGACAAGACTTGTCTACTGGCTGGAGCCGAAGTCCAACGCGCTCGTCGGTGACGGTGTCCTCCAACCTGCGCCGCGCTCGGCGAACCTCGACAGCGCTTTCGGTGGCATGCAGCTCCTTGCGACAGAAGCCTGGAGAGCAGCTCCTCTGCTGCTCACACGCTCTGCACAGTTGGCACAGCCTACTGTGCGGCTGCCATAGCTGTCACACCGATGGGCTCGCCCTCACTGGCCCTCAGTGTGAGACCATGGGTGTGAGGTAAAACCACGCTACCAGCGCTTGGCCACATCAGCCCTGAGGTCATATCCCCTTCTCCTCTGTTGATGGTAACACTTGTCTACTCGCTGGAGCCGAGCAGGAGGGCAAGGGCGCACAACCCCTGTTCAACTCAGGGTCCTTCCCCTTTACCAGGGGAGGCCTGCGCAGCCTCTAACTATATTCTATATGATCTCACATGTTCATGTTACTCAAGGTGTGTTGTAAACTCTGAACCATACTCATGCGTCGCCACGCCCGCGCACGCCCGCGGTGGGTACCGCCGCCGGCGCATCCTCGATCGCGACGAGGTCCGGGGCTGCCGCCGCCTTCGGGGGCGGGGAAGGACGGGGGCGGGGGTGGGGAGTGGGACCTATGAGTACTACTCCATCTCGAGACGAGTTGGGCCGGGGGGGCGGGGGAAGGGGCGGGGGAAGGGGTGGGGGGGGCGCCTCGCTGGCCGCCTCGAGAAGCCCGGACGTTCCCTCGTCCTCCATGCGGCCAAAGGGATTCGCTCCCCCGAAGCCAAGCATCTT